TTGTCACATCCATACCAGAATTGAAAATAAGGCAAGACAAGACCGTGGCGTCTCCGAATCAGCGACATTTGGAAATTATCGAGACACCTGAATAGTGTTGGATTAACTTATGGTATGAAGGCGTATAAATGAGTCAGCTGGCAACTGCTTGGTGTTAGACAGTAACAGACGCTACCAGCGCAAATAGCTAAAATTTTCAATTTAAATATCTTCATTTAGGTATAAATTACAGGCAAGTTGAAAATGACGCCTGCAAGCATAGTCATATTCATACGACTAGGACGAGTTTGAATTGTTAATCTGAATACGCTTGCCAAAACTGATGAAGAATTGCATCTGGTACTTGACGCACGTCCTAGAAAACCTGCTGCAACATGGGTACACTCACTCAGCCTGGATTTTTGGGTTATGTCTTGAAAAAAAAGGATCAAGACGGCGAAGTGTAGGCTGACGAGACGAATATGCAGTCGTGTCATTATTATTCGCCTTTACGGAAACAGACGCACCGCCCTTCCACAAATTGTCGTCATCTATGAATACCATGACTGTTTAATATGCAGACGAGGATCTGAGCACACCGAGAATATATAGGGTTCCTCAACACAAAGGAGGAAAAAAGTGCACAAGGACTAGCTTGACTCCTACCTGCCGAGAATATTCCAGAAAGCAGATAAGGTTCCGCTATAGGAATTCTCGCCAACGACCTGGCTTTCCTCTTCGTCAGGCGTTGTTTGACCGTCGGCATCTACGTTGAGGACACTCTCCTTGAGGTGACCCGGCTTCTTTGCAACGTTAACGCGAATAATCTTTGGACGGAAACTGTCAATCACAACCGTAACTGATTCAGAGCCAACAGGGCTGTCTGCGTACTCGTGGCTAAAACAAAGATGACCAATACATGTCAGTGAAATAAGCTGCATAGAGTATAACCCTTTTAAAAGGCACCAAGATATTTGGCAAAAGATTCTGATAAAAAAGCTAATTTTGCGGCATAAAGTACAGACGATGCTCTAGCTCCGGGGTCGGCAACCCATAGCTCGCGAGCCAGGTGTGGCTCTTTTGATGATTGCGTCTGGCTCTCTCGGATAAAATTGGAACTAGAAATTTCAGATTTTGTGATTTTGGTTCCTCCATGAATAAATCCAGAGGCTTATTATACTCACATTTAATTGAACTCAATCTTAAAATATATTATATGGCTCTCACTGAAATATATTTTCAAATATTTGCTTCCTTGGCTCTCTGAGTCAAAAAGCTTGCCGATCCCTGCTCTAGCTCATTGAACACCGTGAGGGAAATACGAATGAATAGTATGGCATACATGTTTTGTCGTTATTTTTTGTTGAGTTGATTTGAGACGCAGAATGTCATCTACTACAAGAAGAATTCATTTCAAATCTGCTTTATGAAAGGCAAACCGACCGGAGTTAGGTTAAATCTAGCGTAATTTCATACCTAATTCATTTCTTAAGCTATAGATATTTCCAGGTCAAAACCTGTTGTTTGTTTGAGTTATACCATAAACGGACAAAAAGATAAACAAGAAACGTTTAAAATATTTTTCCTAAACCCACACGGACATTCGGATTTTACGTTTATTAAAATCTGGCGAAGAGAGGTACTCAAAATTGCAGTTGTCAAAAAAACAAGGATCAGATACGATTTTGCATATTTGTAGCGTTTTATGCCATAACAGCAGTAATAAACTTATTTGACAGGTAGTTTGTCTTACCACACCGTGAATTAGAAGACATACACAAATAGATACATGTTCAGTATTCACGAAATGTTGGCATTTTTGTGTCAAGCAGTGCGACAAAAATGTCTAGACAGTTTTACCTACAGTCGACTACAGAAATTAGCAGCTGGATGGTTGCCGCGTGACGCTCAAGCAAGTACTTTCAATATGAGTAAGGCAACTCTGTGGGGAATAACTAGCGATAGAACCGTGACCAGATATAAACAGGGCGGACTAAAAGGTTCCACAAGTAAACAAGATGACGGTTTTATTTGTCTTACACTAAAAATAATTATCATGTCTGTTGAGAGAATTTGCAGGGAGCATCTATCGCTGTTTTCTGTGAACATCATTAGGAAATTAATGTGGGAATTTACAATTGGCCACCAAAAAGGCCACACTTAGAGAACGTATTCTATTAGC